ATGATGTTCAGAGGATATTCATCATTATTAATGATAGATTGTATACGATGTTCATAGGATATTCATCATTATTAATGATAGGTTGTATACGATATTCATAGGATATTCGTAATTATTAATAATAGGTTGTATACCAATTCATGGTATATTCATAATTATTAATGATAGGTTGCATCATAAATTCGTAGTGGATATAGTAAGCGATAGATATATAATAAGCGATTGATATATAATAAGCGATAGTGGATATAATAAGCAATTGATATATATAATAAGCGATAGTGGATATAATAAGCAATTGATATATAATAAGCGATAATGGATATAATAAGCGATTGATATATAATAAGCGATAGTGGATATAATAAGCGATAGTGGATATAATAAGCGATTGATATATAATAAGCGATAGTGGATATAATAAGCGATNATGGTTGATACTGACGTGATAAAGCAGCCATGGTTGATACTGACGTGATAAAGCAGCCATGGTTGATACTGACGTGATAAAGCAGCCATGGTTGATACTGACGTGATAAAGCAGCCATGGTTGATACTGACGTGATAAAGCAGCCATGGTTGATACTGACGTGATAAAGCAGCCATGGTTGATACTGACGTGATAAAGCAGCCATGGTTGATACTGACGTGATAAAGCAGCCATGGTTGAGTGGCGAGCAGAAGTGCACAGGCAGCTAAACAAACTGATAACGTAAAGAAATAGACAAAAATAATAATAATAATAGATAAAGATATTATATAGACAATAAGAAAAATAAAATAAAAAATTTATATTATTATGTTATAATACCATATATAAAAAGAATATTAAAATAGATTTAATCTATGAAATAATAATAATAATAGCTACCGCCAATGTCTGGCCATTGGTGGCTTATTGACATTATTGGTGGCCAATGTCTGGCCACCAATAATGTTTGGCCGGCCAGCGGCCACCAATAATGTCTGACCGGCCAGCGGCCACCAATAATGTCTGGCCACCAATAATGGCCAGGCAATATTTCGTCAAGACAAGTCTTCACACGTGACTTGAATTAATAACGAACGACGCTGTTCCCTCCCCCCCCGCCCACCGACGCAGCACCCAAGCTATAACCGTTGCAGGAAGTCCGTTGGGGGGAGGGGAGGATGAGGGAAGTTATGCGGGGAAGGGTGAGGGGATTAGGGGAGAGGAAAGGGTGAGGGGATTGGGTGAGAGGCTAAAGGGAAGTGAAGGAAAGTTATGTGGGGATAGAGTGAGAGGAAAGGATAAAAGGAAGTGATGAGGGAAAGTTGTGTGGGGAAAGAGTGAGAGGAAAGGATAAATGGAAGTGAGAGAGGGAAAGTTGTGTGGGGATAAAGTGAGAAGGGGAGCGAGAGAGGGAAAATAATGCGGGGAAAGAGTGAGAGGAAAGGCTAAAGGAGAGTGAAAGAGGGAAAGTTGTGTGGGGATAGAGTGAGAGGAAAGGATAAAGGAGAGTGAAAGAGGGAAAGTTGTGTGGGGATAGAGTGAGAGGAAAGGCTAAAGGGGAGTGAGAGAGGGAAAGTTGTGTGGGGATAGAGTGAGAGGAAAGGAAAAAAGGAAGTGAGTGAGGGAAAGTTGTGTGGGGATAAAGTGAGAGGAAAGGCTAAAAGGGAGTGAGAGAGGGAAAGTTGTGTGGGGAAAGAGTGAGAGGAAAGGCTAAAGGAAAGTGAGAGAGGGAAAGTTGTGTGGGGATAAAGTGAGAAGGGGAGCGAGAGAGGGAAAGTAATGCGGGGATAGAGTGAAAGGAAAGGCTAAAGGGGAGTGAGATATGGGAAAGTTGTGTGGGGATAGAGTGAGAGGAAAAACTGAAGGGATTAGGCGAGGAAGATGTGTGAAACAACGAGTCCGCTGGTGATACTGCACTGAAGGACGAATGCGGAATAAACGTTATACTTTCCAGATATTACATAATACCGGTAAAATTTATTTTGGGCGAAAATGTCTAGAATCCGGTTGTAAATAATAGATGACAGAATAATGCCTAGTAAAAACACTATAATACTTCAGGCATAGAGAAAATTCCGTGACCATGACCAAAAGACACCGTTTTTAGCGCATTTTCTCCTTTATGGAAAATAGTTCCCTTTTGTGCTCGTCATGTCCGTCCGTTCGTCCGTCCGTCCGTGACTTCACGTTTTCGTCGACGAGAAAATGCGCTCTCTGTCACTCACTGCAGTGAGTACTGAGTTATATTTTTTATAGCATGGTAAGAGAATACATGTTTATATATATACCTCTCCTGTCAAAAAATAATTAGCAATGGCATCTGAATTGTCTAAAGATGATTATCCGGTTTAAATTTCTCAGCGATGATTTACATGCATTATATAAAAGAACGGCATTGCCAGTCGACCCTCACGGAAAACTAGGTATGCGTCGCGGTTTCTACGTTGCTCATTTCTTTGTGAAAAGTTCCGGTAGAAAAAAATGTTTGACTTCCATTTCAAGAATATAACCAATCAAACATTAAACCAAGTTAGTGCTGAAAATATATCTGCTGATAAATAACATCTAAAAAGTTCCAGAGTGCTAGTGTGCACATATCGGTACTGAATAGCACGGTTGCACAGCAGTTTACACATGGCATGCAGAGTGCTAGTGTGCACATATCTGTACTGAAAAGCACGGTTGCACAGCAGTTTACACATGGCATGCAGAGTGATAGGGAGTACATATCTGTACTGAATAGCACGGTTGTACAGCAGTTTACACATGGCATGGCGCGCTTTATTGATCACGAACTCGGTTGCAGCTGCAGTTTCCTTGCACGTACGTGGTATTGGATCGATGATACCGTACCCGAATCGTAAAGGAAGAACATTGGTAGAATGGCGAATAATTCTTCTCAATTAGATAAATTTTACAAGTAAATAATCATATTGCTTTTGATACTAAATAATGGTACTGTTACTTCGATTATAAATTCGTACTAATATTTAATCAAAATAATTTTATTGCTCGTAAATAATCAAAATATTACCAACCTTTTTAAAAATGAACTGAAAATTTGATTAGATTTTCGTTGAATTACACTTCATCAAATTCAAGTTAGCAATATGATAGCTGAATAGATGAAATTTGAAAAATAGAATCCGTACAGTAGCAAACGGGATCAGCAATATTCAGTTCGAGACTGTGATCCAGCACGTTAAAATTAAAAGAATTCAATATAGAACAGTAAATACAACGCATATTGAACGGACGTCTACAACGATAGGGGTGTACTTTCGATGTAAGGATATAAAATTAGTGGAAACGAAACTACACGTAAAAGGCAAAGGGTGACTCGTCTGGCATGACACAGATGTTACGAAACAACGGGCCGGCCAGGCTGTATACTCAGATAAATTAATGCGTCACGGTGACCAAATAGAGACCCACTTCAATACAAACATAACAAGCGGACATAGCACTGATACGCATTTTAGCAGAGCCAAAGCCGGTCAGAATGACCCATACGATGGCAAAAGTGCATATTGCATGGCTATTTTTCTGTGAATGTGTACATTCTACAGCGAACAGCATGTACATTCTACAGCGTGTTCATTATACAGCGTGTGCATTATACAGCGTGTACATTATACAGGGTGTACATTCTACAGCATGTACATTCTACAGCGTGTACATTATACAGCGTGTACATTATACAGCGTGTACATTCTACAATGTATACATTCTTCAGCATGTACATTCTACAGCATGTACATTCTACAGCGTGTACATTCTACAATGTATACATTTGTGTACATTCTACAGCGTGTACATTCTACAGCGTGTACATTCTACAGCGTGTACATTCTACAGTGTGTACATTCTACAGCATGTACATTCTACAGCGTGTACATTCTACAGCATGTACATTTCACAACGTGTACATTCTACAACAAGTAGGTACACTTTACAATATATACATTCTACAACGTGTACATTCTACAACGTGTACATTCTACAACGTGTACATTCTACAGCATGTACACTTTACAATGTATACATTCTACAGCGTGTACATTCTACAATTTGCGCATTCTACAACGTGTCCTTTCTACAGTGTGTACATTCTACAATGTGCACATTCTACAACGTGTACATTCTACAATGTGTACATTCTACAGCGTGTACATTCTACAGCGTGTACATTCTACAGCATGTACATTCTACAGCTTGTACATTCTACAGCATGTACATTCTACAACATGTACATTCTACAACATGTACATTCTACAGCGTGTACATTCTACAGCTTGTACATTCTACAGCATGTACATTCTACAACATGTACATTCTACCATGTGTACATTCAACAGGGCCCTAACAGCTCACAATGCGGACTGATTGACTGACACGCTGGCTCTGCAGTGTGCTAGAGCTCTGTGCTTCAGTGGAATATAGTCAGGCTTTAGCTTTGCTTTGCATAGACAATTTTAGGGATACTATTTAAGGGTCTTTTCAGTAGATATAATTTTCTTAAATGGCTTGATAGGAGGCAAGCATAAACATTCATGCTGATTTGATAAGAGCAAGTAACACGTGCTAAATTTAAATTCTATTTTAAACAGGAAAGTTAATAACCAATTCTGCTATGTAATTTACATGTATGTATATACATATTAAAAATATTTAATTTATTAGAAGTATGATTGTTTGAAATACAGGCTCTTAGAAAGCAAAGTCAATTCAGTTCAAATTTTTAATACCGTACAATGTTTGTAAATACTTCAGAATGTCCTAAATTGATTTATTTAATGAAGACAATGCAAAATTTGAAGTCCCAGTTAAAATCTTTTAGACTGGGACTACATAAACAATAAAAATTATAGGATAAATACATATATATACCTCCCAAAACATTGTTCTCTCCCTTTACACATAGAATGAAATCAACTATTTTTTTTTAATCGTGTACCAAATGCAACTAATTTCAACAATTACTGGTAAATGAAAAATAAATTTATTTCTTTGATTACGAATAACTAACCTTGGGCTTGTGCTGTAGACACCAGAGCAGCAATAGTGAAAAAACTCAGCACGAGCTGTGATGACATTAACACATTTCTTAGAAAACAGCTGATTATTCCAGTTTTCACTTCACCACCTCCACTCCCAGCAAAATAATTTTCATTTGCCATTACACAATAATCCTGTATTATTTGTCTTACAAATGAAGTGTGTCTAGTTCTTTTCCTGACATGCTTAATTCTTGTGTGCACTGCCTTCATTGCATTCACTTCAGGCTCTATCATTACCACTGTGATATTGCAACCAACTACAATGTGAAGATAAAACAACAATGGTCTTTTGCCATGTCAATTAAAATAAGCTCTGTAAATTAACTACACATCACTTAGTTAATAATAACCAATATCTCTCCTCTTCAAAAATACATATTCCTTTATACATATCACTAGACGCTGGATTAAACTTACAATGGTAAAACAAGAAAACCACAGGCAGTTTTCAAAAAAATAATTTATAATTTATGCAAACTTCATTTTAAAAATTCGTTCCCTTCAAATCATGTTAATACATTTTCAGTTCATCTTCCAACTTCCAAATGCCATTTACCAACAATGAAACACAAGTCCACAGGTTGAGCTACTGAACTTGACAGTTACCGTACCTACCGTACCTATGATAAAAATGATTTAGCATATACTGCCTATTTGTACAGTTTGTTGCATTTAGATAATAAAAATTCAAAGCTGTGATCAATTGATAGAAAGTAACATGTAATGTTCTTCAATATCAAGGATAGAAATAAATAAACAGTGGTAACAATATATGTCTCATTAAGATGTTTGATTTATAGTATCAAATAGGGAACTTTTCCTTCTTATATATTTTATTCAATCTCAAGATATTGAAAAATTGCATTTATCAGCCTTTTTATACCAATGCTTTTATCCATATTGCCTGACTTTAGTGCTATTCACCATGCAGAAAATTAGAAAATATTACATTATCCTTGATTTTGGTACTACTCCACAAGCAATACTGGTGCATGTTTTCAGAAGATCTCAATGATTCGTTAGTCTTTAAAAGGCTCATTAAATTTTTTCTGGGCAATGAATCTCAAAGGTTGAGATGGTACTAACAATATGTTCTCAATAATACTGGCAATATTTTCTGGCTAAAATGTGATCTCTACATACCACATGGAACATACCATAACAGCCCAGCAGTACTGATACTATAAAACACAACTGGTATATACAATGGAAAATATAAACTTTTTAGCAAAACAAGGTGGATTGCTTCAGTTCCACTCCAAAACAGTCTTAGCCAGTGGTACTATACAGTTATAGCTTGGTTGATTAACCTGATTTAATGTAAAAAGAGCTTACCCTTGTCAACCCCCTCTACTTAGCAAGTTAAGACTTAGCCAGGCTAGCCTTGATGATCAAAGAATAAAAGATAAATATTTTGATAAAAGATACAAGTGCATCTATTGATCTAAATTATTTTGAACATTCAAAATAGTATCTGTACTATTTCACTCATTTACCAGTTACCACTGGCACTAGCTATGTTACTATCATTGGCTCTTGTAATGGCACTATGAGTATGAGCCTATGATCTATCACTGTCTGTGCACTAGCAGAGTTTGGTAGGTAATCATTTTGCCAACAACTGGTTAAATTTTACACAATTCTAGCCCAAAACAAATTCAGTATAATTAACATTTGTTGTCAGCACTAACTAGGTAACTTAGATTTTGGGTTTTTTGCCAAGAATATAAATAGAGAAATGCTTAGAGACAACTGCGTAGGCAAATGGCAAGAATCACAAGGATTACTACATCAATTATTATGGATATGAAAAGAAATTAACAAAAAAAATTATACTTGCACTTGCAGCACTGTTAAATTAAATGTTAATTGAGCACGTTTCATTTCCAAAGTATTAATCCACAGGAATTAGCTCCCAAAAATATTTTCAAAGAATGAATTAAAAACAAAAGTTTGAAGTCACGTAGAAAAGCAATCTCAATTTCTGGATGTAAACAATGGAAGTGACCACGAGAGACGCAAGCCGCCTGGCAGCACCAAAGCGGTCAGGAACTTCAACCAAACACTAGAAAATGATCCGACTTCGGAGTTTCTCAAGAATTCCAGCGTCCAATATCTTATTATATGGTAATAGTAGGTTTAAATTTGATGATTCTACATAATCACTGTAAGATTGTGCTCGAATATCAACTCCACACATGCAAAAACTGAATAATAAACTTTAAGACTGAACCGTCAGTTGAATGCCTTCGGGCATTAGACTAGCACACCCTCACTCCACAAGACCAACATACGCACTGACCTTTCTCGCCGGAACGGACGTGACGCGCAACCGGACGCCGCGGGCCTGAAGATTCGGAGCTGTGTTTTGGATTGCATATGGTTTGATCAATTCTGTTAAATAATACAATTTAAAGTTAGAATTATGGTTAAAACGAAATTATTTGGAGCCACTCTATGTATGACGCGTCGCCGAGAAGCAGAAGCTAAGATATTTACTTTATTGGAACAAATATATATTTTTATCATGTTAAGCTTATGCATTGCTGAAAAAATCAAAGTTTTATAGACATGTCAATCGTATTTTTGAATGGGCCATGAAGACATGATGTGAAGGGTGCTCGCCTTGTAGTCAAAAAGGTGATAAATTATTTTAAACGAACTATGATTCGTTTAATATTAATATGTGAAGTGTTGATGAAACTAAAAAAAATTTCTATGTTACGGTAGTTGTTTGCGGTGTGCATCTTTAATTGATGACGGACACTTTACTGTAATTATAGATGGGATTTAAATATGACCGAACTTTTTCCAAGGCCTTATTTCCAATGGCTTAGTATCAGAAAATTAGGCCTTGCAGGTGTGATGCATTACATTTAAAATATAATAAAAATTTGTCAATGAGACTCAGTATGAATGATATTGAGTATGAATGATATTGAGTATGAATGATATTGAGTATGAATGATATTGAGTATGAATGATATTGAGTATGAATGATATTGAGAATGAATGATATTGCGTATGAATGATATTGAGAATGAATGATATTGAGTATGAATGATATTGAGTTGAATGATATTGAGTGTGAATGATATTGAGTATGAATGATATTGAGTATGAATGATATTGAGTATGAATGATATTGAGTATAAATGAGAAACGTAACTAAACGTTAATTGTTTCTAATATTCGTAGCAATATAAAGGGTCCTTGACATTGTTGGATTTGACGAGTTTTTTAATAATGTTCAAACGAGAAGTGGGAAAAGGAAAAAATTTTGCGACCGCCTCAAATTATTCGAAAAATTCGGTTCACAACGCAAAAAAAGTAAAACGGCTTTCATATCATCATGCGCGTTTTTCAATTCACTGTAAATTAAAAAGTCTGAATACCTATCATGTATGAAATGAGCTTTACTCAATAATAATCGTCTTCATAATAAAAGAGTTGAATAAGATGCAATTTCGAATCAAGTAGATTCGTGCTTAAATTGTATTCAAAAATAGATTTTACTTCTTCTCCCTTTTCGATTAGCCCATTAAACATTAAATTCAATTAAGCATAGGAAAGACTATATACAGTTTCTTTACTTCACGCCACGGGGGGAACAGGATCACAATTATTGTAAATAGAATTCATTTATAGTAATTATATTTTAAATTCAGTATAAGCTCATGTCTTCGGCCTTTGATATTATCTTTTTCGTCTAGGTTTCATCATCGTGCTTTGGTACCGTTTATAGGCTTTGGTTCCGCTCACACAGTTTTTATTTACACTTTGTCGTCAGCGAAGACGTCATTTTGATGAATCAGGTGGCATTTAAAGAGCTTTTGACGCTCCTATCTAAGAAAATAACCTTAGGACCTACCGAAGAATATAAAAAACGCTAAGAAACATGAAAGGATTAAACATAGAAAAATCTCGAAACTTAGTCGCATCGACGATTGATTTAAGCCTATTAATAGTAAAAAAATCCCCCTTTGCCAGCGAAAAGAGAAAGAATAACGATCATATTTTTTAGACGTGCGGAAAAATCACCAGGAATAATTTGGCAATAAAATCTAACACTACAAATCGAAAAACTTTACACAGACTACGTTCATTCCTGTCGTGGCTGAAAGCTCAGGTTGTTCCATATATCATCTGACCGATGTGTTATATATACTATATACTATGTATACTATATACTACATGCTATATATACTATATACTATGTATACTATATACTACATGCTATATATACTATATACTATATAATATATAATTAATACTATATACTACTATAGCCTTCATAAACGCATTTGCGTCGGAAGCGGAGTCTCATATGCCACGCATTGTTTGCGAACATATAAACGCGAATATTTAGATGCATCAGCGAACACGCAGCAGCTAAGCAGACTTAAAATCCTAGCAATTTTCTAACAACTGTTCTAGAGCATCTGATGGAAGCTGTTCCAAATCTGGTACTGGCGGGTTTTTACGAGTTTTTGGACGAAAGCTTGAAATTGCATAAACTATGAAATTTCTGATCCAGCTAGTTATCGAGATTTTTAGCGATCGGCTGGGGAAGTTTAACCATGTGAGGTACTCCAGTAATTGCATAACTTCTATGTTTTAATGATGAAAGTGTATCTAACAACGGCACTTCCACTGGATGCGCTTCGAACGAATATTCACTAATTTCCCAGCACAACGGGTCGGTAGACAACGTTCGCGAACAGTGTTCGCTGTCCCAGTTCCTCGTCTGCAAATGCTTTCGCTCACCGATATCTCGTTCGGAAACTGTTTGCCAACAATGATAGGTCGGTGTAACCGTGCCTTTAGGTGTCACTAGGCCTTCAAAATTCCATTCTTTATCGCGTTAACAACTGCGTCCATTGAATTGGCTGGAATTTACATCCAACCCAGATTAAATCTAAATAGCAAAGTTCGTCGAGTTTTTATAATACAAAAGCGTTTTTCAGCCAAGCAGGTGACCTTTAGAAAAAGTATACATTTTAAGAGCCCATTTACTTTAAAATTTTTGCAATTTAAAAATGCTTGTTTCTTGAATGTACCATCTTTGAACCAAGTTGATAAATTACCGGGCAAGAATGTCAGTGAAATAATGACACAAGCGATTCATCGTCCTAAAATCTAAATGGTAAAAATATAGATTTAAAGATATCCATCAGGGATAAAATAATCTCCAAAAATGGGTTAATAATTGATGTGTACGGGAAGTTTCATACGAACACTTTTATTGAACGAAGACACAACAACAAAGTAAGTTTGATTCTCTGCCTAAGATTTCTCTCGTCTGTCATTAACGGATCAAAAAATGCTGGTGTATTACATGGAATAATATTCCTATTTTCTAATCTCGTACTTCAATCAGATAGTCTTCAAATTCCACATTTCTAGTGAAAATGGAAAATATCGAGCTCAAGTTACAGAATTTAATATTTTGAGGAGGTCAAACTTGCAAAATTTGGGATTTGGGATTGATAGATTGTAATTCAGAACATATCTATGTACTGCAAAAACCGGTATGCAGTGTATGTTTTGCACAAACGTGCACAATTAACTTAATATTACGAACGAAAAAACACATTTTTTACCAATTGCAAGAGAAAGTGCGAAACTGTGCGCAAAATCACTTCATTGAAACAAACGAAATGGTACCCAATTCTTTACAAAAAGAATTCGTTCTGAAAATTCATAACAGAACATAATATTCACAAGTCAACTATACAAGCTACGTAAGTCATTCATACAAATTTCCATAATATTGAGGACGATAACAAAGAACTGTCATGAAATGAGATATTAGTCAGAATATTCCAACACCAAAATTATGACAAACTTGGCTCAGAAACCAAAAAGGATAGTAAGTACAATTTTGTGTCAAAAAGTATTGAAATTTATACCGTAAATACGAAATGAAAGTGCATTTGACTTCCGTTGCATGGTTGAATGAATTCAGTGCTTCATTCACATGATGAAAAGAACGGAACCGTCATAAAAAAAATTCAAATAAGCTATTAATCCATACAAATTGTCAGTCAGATTGAATTTCAAATTATTTAAATGTTACAATGAATGATTTCAAAAAGTGTCACTTGGTCAATGTATCACGGAGAGTGCCGTGGCAAACGACAGTCTCTCTTTTCTCTCTTCTACGTTGCTTAAATTTCGAGTGGTACTCAAATTTTTTTTTTACTACAATAACGCAAAATCAAACGTTTTCTCACGTACCGGAAGAGAACCAATCAATCTGGACAGAAAAAATTCTCAACGCAATTTCACAACCGAGAAAAATATTTCATTCAGACTTCTTCCTTAACTACGGGTCATAATTTTTGTCGTTTTAAACTCGACAACCCCAATAACGTTCAGGACAATTCCGTTCCGCATTTTTTTCAATTCTGGCATTTTGACATTCACATCAAAACATCAGTAACATCTCCAAATTAATGGGGGTTGTTTTTGCCAATTGTTTAGCAAGGTGCGTTTCGCATCGCGTTGAGTTGACACTTCAAAAAATGCATAAGTTAGGCGATTTTTCCAACAAAAATCACACGACTTTTGCGACAGTCGCAAAAGAGTCATTTAATATAAGCTAAAAAGCTTATATAACACAAACCCATTAAAAAAATTAGGATGAACAACCAAATGATAATTGTCAAATTTTTTTTAAAAAATTACTGAAATAACTCGTAGGTTAGAGATTAAAATAAGAATGAATAGCCATTAGAATTTAAATCAGGCATTCAATCTGCCGGCAATTACAAGGTAATTAAACTAACAACCAAGCCAAAACTGTCAGCAGTTTCAAACAATATTCAAATATTGGGTTGACTAGCATTCAAAATTTTGAGTAATGTAGCTTTATCATGAAATGATCAATAGTAGAGAAAGTGGCCTGTTCAATTACAGTGGTTTGATTAACAGTTAATTCTCGAATTTGCTTTGCGGAACTTGTAGAATCGAGTCCGTGGAGTTGATAAAGGAATTCCGTACAACCTTTAAATTACTTGAAAAATCATGTTGGTGTTGGTACAGAGATGTATAAGTTATTCATTGCTTACTTACTTCATCAGCTGGGATTTTCCGCCCATCAACAATCTCATTCCAACGTGAATCGCCATTTTTTTCACATCCCGCTCTCGTCTTGAGAGTAGTAATCCATTTCCGCGTTGTCGTTCATTCGTGAGCTGACTTCAATTCTTAAGTTATCATTTATTGGTATATTTATATCGGTGCGCATGTTTTCAATTGATTGCGAGTCGTTTTCTATTCCAGTAGTGTCATCAACTTGCAATGGGCTTGTAGATTTTTTTTCCACAGAAAACGGAACGTTCGAGTCTTCTTCGTTTTCTTTGGCCAATTGCAGGAGACACTGCCTTAAACCTTCTTGCCGCTTTGCTCTGCTGGCCATTCGTCGGATGCTCGCCTGTTTTTCCCATTTATCTAGTTCGTATGAATTGCGAAACAAAATCAAACTCTATAAACGGGTTAAAGGAAAGTAAGGAAGGTAACAATGAAGACAGCTTTCCATGATGAAGCAAAAATAATTGTAAAACATGAACAATTAATGATAAATCAAACTATATAAACCGGTAAAAGGAAATTAAGGAAGGTAAAATTGAGGACAAATTTCTATGATAAGGCAAAAATACTTTCACAAATTTTCCTACGCAACATGCTTCCTAACTACGGCAAGAATTTCTACCTCTTTGCTTTTTAGTTTCTACTTTTCGCAATTAGGTGCATTAGTATATCAAGTAATTAGGTTAATGCAAAGAGAATATATTGAAGAACTATTGTAAAAAAAAATAGAAAACAATATTGCATCAAAGAACGATAAATGCTAAAAGTATCTTAATTTCCGACCAACCCAGTAAATAATTTCCCGTTTTTCCGACTCACCCAGTGAATAATTCCCGTAATTTCCGACTTACCCAGTAAATAATTTCCCGTTTTTCCGACTTACCCAGTGAATAATTCCCGTAATTTCCGACTCACCCAGGAAATAATTTCCCGTAACTTCCGACTCACCAAGGAAATAATTTCCGTAATTTCCGACTCACCCAGTAAATAATTTCCCGTAATTTCTGACTCACCCAGTAGATAATTTCCCGTAATTTCTGACTCATCCAGTAAATAATTTCCTATAATTGCAGACTCACCCAGGAAATAATTTCCCGTAATTTCCGACTCACCCAGCAAATAATCTCCCCGTATTTTCCGACTCACCCAGTAAATAATCTCCCCGTAATTTCCGACTCACCCAGTAAATAATTTCCCGTAATTTCCGACTCACCCAGGAAATAATTTCCCGTAATTTCCGACTCACCCAGTAAATAATTTCCCGTAATTTCAGACTCACCCAGTAAATAATTTCCCGTAATTTCAGACTCACCCAGTAAATAATTTCCCGTAATTTCCGACTCACCCAGTAAATAATTTCCCGTAATTTCAGACTCACCCAGTAAATAATTTCCCGTAATTTCAGACTCACCCAGTAAATAATTTCCCGTAATTTCAGACTCACCCAGTAAATAATTTCCCCGTAATTTCAGACTCACCCAGTAAATAATCTCCCCGTAATTTCCGACTCACCCAGTAAATAATTTCCTATAATTTCCGAGTCACCCAGTAATTAATTTCTTATAATTTCCTACTCAACCAGTAAATAATTTCCCGTAATTTCCGACTCACCAAGTAAATAATTTCCCGTAATTTCCGACTCACCCAGTAAAATATTTCCCGTAATTTCCGATTCGCCCAGTAAATAATTTCCCGTAATTTCTGAATCACCCAGTAAATAATTTCCCGTAATTTCCGACTCACCCAGTAAATAATTTCCGACTCACCCAGTTAATAATTTCCCGTAATTTTCACTCATCCAGTAAATAATTTCCCGTAATTTCAGACTCACCCAGTAAATAATTTCCGACTCACTCAGTTAATAATTTCCTGTAATTTTCACTCACCCAGTAAATAATTTCCCGTAATTTCCTAATCACCCAGTAAATAATTCCCGTAATTTCCGACTCACCCAGTTCATGGAGCCACACATGATGCTGGCATTCGGCAGGAGTGTAGGCAAAGAAGTCGCAGTCTTCACTGAACGTGCACTTCGTAGGCATGCGCATGAAGTGTCTCACTGCGTGTCTTTGAAGCTCAAATACCGTAGGAAACAGTTCATGGCACGCAGTGCAGGGGTATGGAGGCGGAATATATTCAAACACTTGAGAATGTTGTACAGCTGACGAGTAATGATGATGGAACTGGAAGCAGCCATCGCAAAAGTGGCTCCTCATGAGGTGTTCTCGCGCTACCACGAAGTCAGTGAACTTGATTTGGCAGAATGGACAGTTCGTCTCCACGACGGTTCTAGGAAGACGCTGTCGCATGCTCGCTACCTCAACTAAAAACGGCTGGTCTTCCAGAACATCGGTAAACAGATTTGTAGGAATAGATAGGGTGGAATCCGGACGCATGATGGCGACTATCTTTGAAAGATTTCGAATTCAAGGAGATTAATACTGAAAATTTTTCGAATTTTTCAAATTCAAAGAGATATAGACTGAATTAGATGTGGGCCAAAGAATGCTCTAGTCTGTATCTGGTGGATCTGCTGGGCGTCCGGAATGAATCTACCTAGACTAGAACTGGCAATGGAGAAAAATTGTTATTAGTTGTCGGTCCAAGACACGTACGTTCTACGTTCTAATTCGATTTCAAAATTGTTCACAAATTCTATTCACTATGTGAATAGAGGTTCAATACACTTCAATGGGTAGGCATCAAAAATTCATATTCACTTAATTTATGAAGACAAATCTTTCTCGTAACCTGCAGTCAGTCAACCTTACAGCTTCGTTGCTATCAAATTTTAACAGTTGCCATGGAGAGGAGTGAGCTATTTCGATCCCAGCTACCAGCTGCAGTGCTAGTCAAATCGGCGAAAATACCGGGCGGTTAAGCAATGCAAAATTAGAGCAGTGAGTTACGTGTTCAAGACCGCAACAAGGTGTGAATATTCTGCGATGTTAAGAATCGGCGACAAGTCTAACGGCCTAATGAAAGCTGACACCGCCATACGAAGGAAAATAGATAGTTGTTCACCATGCTAATGTAAACTCCAAGCATTTTCGTTTCGATAGACTAAAAACAATCACAGTTTAAAATAATGACAAGAAATGTACTTCAATCTTGTGTAAAATCTAAACACGTCAAATATTCGACAAGAGACCATTCAACATAACTTAGAAAGGTCAATAAAAGGGACAAAGTATTGAAAATTATATGCAACACTACGTGTGCGGTTTACCACTACTTACTAGTATCAAAGTTACGACCTGCCAATTGTGAACGTAGTTATGTATGAAATACATCTTTAAATCTAAAATTCCTATAGCAAGCAGCCAAGCACCGGTCTCTTTTCAAAGTTAGTTCTAAAGTTAATTAAAAGTCAGTGGCATTGATTGCATTAAATGTTTCATTAGACGTTTCGCTATCCAACAAGATAACAAATACGATTATCACTGCTACGCGGGTGCTGCTTACTAATCTAACCCACAGCACCTCAAACGTTATTTAAAAAAACCTAAGTCAATCATTCACCATTTGGTACGCTTTACTGCTGAGCGAAATAAATAAGCAATTTTAATTAACTTTAGAACTAACTCTGAAAAGAGACCGGTGCTTGCTATCGGAATTTTAGATTTAAAGATGTATTTCATACATAACTACGTTCACAATTGGCAGGTCGTAACTTTGATATGAAAAAATTTCTTCGCTAGCGGTGAAAATTTCTTCGCTGGATTCAAGTTATAGTCCACGTATGAGCAGATAATCGAAACCAAATCAGTCTAAATTATGTAGTAACAGAAAAATGACACGACAAACCGTATGGCTAAATTATCGAATGAATAACTTGAACGTACAAACAAGGAAATGTTAGAACAGCATACAATACCAGCACCTCAAACGTTATGTAAAAATTGAAGTCATTCTTTCACCGTTTCGTATGCTTTACTGCCGAGCGAAATAAATTAGCATTTCGTTCACCAACTTTAAAGTAACGCAGTCAGAAATTCAAAGGCATTAGAAGAGTAGTGACAGATTCTGGTAATGAATTTTCAAAATACATACATTGAGTCTTCAGACAATTGCGTCTGTCGCTGAAACCTGAAGAAGTAGTGTTCGAACACCGAGTTCATTTACGCAGTTGCAGGTAGACTTTATCTTCAACGCATTCTGTCTTTGCATTCAAATAATTTTCTTCATAAAAAGCTAAATTTTATTCATGGGGGAAATTAGGCTACGATACTCTAGCCGGACCCACGAATAAAAGGAAGAAATAGAAGATGATTTCCTTATCTATCCCACTATCCGTACCTATATTATTACCTTACCTATTATCCCTATTACCTTCACTTCAATTCGTTTTCAGTTTTCACTTTTTTCTCTTCGCACATATTATTTAAATTAATATCCAAATAATAATAATTTATTAATATGACGAGTAAATACTTTAATTGTCATCCATGTTCAATTTCTATTAATTTTTAATATATTCGTCACGAAGTATGATATGATTGTAATTTGTACACCGTCCACAGGATGAACGAAAATAGTAATCTGATCCAATATTATTCATACATTATGATAATTTTCTATGAGCTGCGAAGGCGAAAATTGCCAGTTAGCTATCAATTGTGCGAATTTTGCCTATAGTTTGAATGCACGAATATATAAATTTTGATAATGGTAATTCGGGCGGTTTGTATCACAGATACTTTTTTACGAGATGTAACAAGAGACACTTTTCCTTTTTGCCAATTCTCGTACAAAAGAAGATCCGTGGACGATTTCAGACTTGAGTGGCACATCAGGAAAAAAACCAACAGGAATACACCATGCTTTTGGAAACCAAGATTTGTAAAGTCTCATTGGCTCTGGCGTTCGCGACCATTTTCCTAGCGGATTTTTGTCTAGCAAGTCACCGCCGGAACATCAAAAGGAAGTTGAATAAAGATCAACAATTTACATCACTTAGCTCGATGACTAATGAAGACGATGCTAAAAACTAAACTATTCACTCGACTGCTCAGGAAATCTATCAAAATTAATCAGCAGTGAACTCAACAAACTTCAATGATTTGTTTGCAAATAAACGCCATGAATGTTCTTCGAGCTTTTTTATGAAAGGCAACAAGCAAATAAGTTCAGGAGTTGTCACTCCTCCGCTGACTTAACGAAAATTATATTTAAAAAGTGATTCTTTCGACTTCTGTCTCGTGTCTGGAGGCGAAGCAAAAATGGTCTTCTACTTAGGAGAAAACGCACCAAACGTCGAGCCGGTCGAGGTACTTCTACAGCAAGTAAAATAGTCCCCCATCCAAAACGTAACATAGAAAACGTTGGCGCTGGTAGCTTCCGAGACCCAGTAACTAAAATAAAATAATTCTTCTTCGTCTGCGAACCATGTTGGACCCCAAGCTGTTAATTCCAGTGAACCGGCACAAGTTGGAATAGATTGTAGCTGCTACCACGGCGAAATTGACGACCAGACTATCAAACTTTGGGGATCTTGTGAAAAGGAAAATGGATGTTCACCAATCAAAATATTAAGATGCTCAACTGACGGACAAATTGAGTGTGAAATTATCTGCCACTAATGGAGCTTATTGGTGGCTGTGTCGGACGACGCAAGATGATTGGTAAAACATAGGATTTCCTTAACAGTGACGAGGGACTAAATGGGTTACAAATGTTGTTCACTTAAGATCGCTATGCAATGAGTAATCAAAAGTTTTCTTGCTAAAATTTCGAAAAAGTTTTTACTTTCTTGATGTATTCCGTCGGGCGCCATCTGAAAAACTGTAAAAAGTTGTGATCATCGTTGAAGTTTTCTATGCTGAATATCTGGCAATTTCTGAAATTCATAAAAACTGTCTTTTATCATATTATATATATTTTTTGTTTGCAATTCCGAAAAAAGTTATGAAACCAAATTTTATTTCAAGATACAAGCTACATTGTGGATAATATTGCAAACTAAATTTCTCAACTATATTGGGGGATTATTTGTATATTTTAACGATTCAAGTTTGACAAAAACGCAAATAATGTAAGTGAACAGATTTCGACCTCTAAAAAGACTTTTGTGAGAACGTAATTTAAATGAATTAAAATAATCTCTAATATATTACTAAATTTAACGCCCCTGTAGGAAGTTATATATGCTCGATTTATTCGAAGGTTGCAGGCAGGCTTTTAGAGTTGTCCTGCTGGCGTGACGTAAGTGTTTGTTACGATACGATGCGAGTGTCGTAAGAGTTTTATACGACACACTATATGAGGCTTGTTGCACATGCAACACCACGATATGTCTTGCCTGGTCCTGACTTTCAAATTGAAGCATTATGCCTTTCACCAATGCTATCTTCACCCAAGTAGTGATTTGAGTGTTTCTGTACAATTTGAATAAACAAAGAAAGAAATATGATGTGGTGATCCTTCTAAAAATTATGTTTTACTATTGCGTTTGAAGTAGAAATTAAGTTAAAATACGCTTATGGCCATGAATGATCTTTCGTATTAAAAAGTGTGGAATGGTTTGCTCATTATTTTATGTTGAACTCTTCAGATTGAATGCCAAAAGGAATTTTCAATATATTATTTCATTTATTTATTTTTTCTTATTTTCAAAAATGTGTGTCTCGGATTAATGGTAAAGACCACATTAAAAATAGAAAAATTTCATTTAAAATCCTTATTAAAAAAAATTGATGCAGGACTTCATAAATAAGGAGACAATAGAAGTGTGTAAAATATTTAAAGTTATTTTAATATTTCCAGTGCCACAGTTTAATCTGAACAGCAAAACTAAGGTGACGCAAATGGATTTGAAATTTTTATACTTTATTCTGCAGTCTTCAGATTTGAGCAGGTAATATTTCGGTCTATCTCTCAAGTAAATTAAATGTCTATTAATTGTCCGCGTTAGATCACATCAGAAGCTAAATACTAATTAGTGAATATTGGTTTACTAATCGATAAACTCGCATGTTCAGCCCAATATTGTTTGCGTTTATATTTTATGAACTATTAATAACAATTTATTATGTTATGTTTGTACAAACCTGCGCTTTCACCTCACTACGCTTTCAGTTTTTTCACTTTCATTGTATCTACATAAAATATCATCGTGTCAAAACTTTTAATCGCGGATTTCAAATATTAAAGGGTACATATTATTTAAATTAATGTGAAAAGAATAATAATACAATAATATGAAAAAAATAAATATGCTATTTGTCATTCTTGTTAAATTATTATGACATTGACTTTTTGGCTCACCACTTATTCGTCATATCTATTATTTATATCATTTCGTTATCTGTGTATAAAGTTATTCTATTTATCATTAGAATAAAGGTAGAATTATTCAGAATTTTTTACATATTTTGTGGAAAGAATCAAAGGTCGGCACCAAAATTTAGATAAAAATCTCCGAATTGTTTTCACTTTTACTTGACGTTTTGTGAAGCAAAAAGTTTTATATATGTTCAAGCGATTTCCTATAGAAATTGACAACTGTTTAGCAGGATATTCTGAATATTTGACCTAAAATTAAAATCATTAGCATGTTAGACGTATAAAATTGCCTGCTAATAAGTTAGAATTTCAAGAGTTAATTCTTTATGTAAAAGGATTTGAAAGGACTAAACTGGGTGATCCAGACATTAACACAATTGACTTCACCTAACCAATGTATAATTATCAATCTAATAGAAGGAAATATATGTGAAAAAACTTCTTCACCCGAGTTCATCTTTATAGTTCGAGCCACACTTTTCTCCTTGTAATTCAAGTTTTTTCTGCCTCGATTCAATTCATTTTCATAGTTGATGATTTTCTTAAAATGATGTCTTCATTTTTTGATTTTCGTCGTATAAATAAATATGGATTATGATGGATAATTATGATTGTTATTAATAAAAATTTATTTGTCAAATTCCTCTTTGGCATGAAAATTATTTAGCGCTGTTCAAATAATTAGCAAATGAAAAACTAGTAGGAATAGCCTTAAATATTAAACTTTTCGATACAACTATACAGTACTAAATGTTAAGATTTAATTACAATTACATTATATAACTATATAATATTTTATCATTCCCTTTTTACAAGATACTGATGAAAGTAAACCGAAAATAAAAGTGTACCTCTATGCGTCTCTTCTTGCATCTCTTCCAGTCACAGTTTCCTGACTGGAATTATACGTTGAACATTTACCTACTGTTTCTTGGAGCAGTTACTCACTCTTCCAGTTACAGTTTCCCGACTGGAATTATACGTTGAACATTTACCTGCTGTTTCTTGGAGCAGTTACTCACTCTTCCAGTTACAGTTTCCCGACTGGAATTATACGTTGAACATTTACCTGCTGTTTCTTGGAGCCGTTACTCAATATATAACATGTAGTGCAGTATTGGTACACTTGCGAGACATTTAGGACACTTGCGAGAGCGAGCGTGACCAGGATACGGGCCTTGCGTGACACGCACGATGTTGTTCAACAATGCACGTACAAAACGTAGGTTTTGTCACATGTAGCATCATGAGGGTGGAATTCAGAGGGAAAATGCGATGCGTTGAATAATTTTAATACTCACTCTACTGATACATTAACTACCTTCAATGATATTATTTGCATCCGAGGACTCGAATGAACTTGAATTGATGGGAATAATGGTTTTTAGTTTGGAATGATTTTTCAATTGTAAACTGATTATAACCAAAAAATGATTCGTTCATTATAACCTCTGATCGTGTCTTTAAAATTAATTATAGCCTCTTATCGTGTCGTGTAAATTCATAATAACGTGTGACCGTGTCTTGTGAAATTCGTTATAACGTCTGACAGTGTTGTGTAAAATTCATTATGACATCTTAAAATATAATTAATATTATATTTTATAATATGAAATATAATTAATCATTATATGATTAATGTATATGTATAATTCTTTATAATATTTTATCGTGTATTGTAAAATTCATTACAATCTCAAACCATGACGGTTAGGCTCCCACCAATTAGTGAAAATTCTTGTGGAAAATTTGTGAAAATTCTTGGGAATTAGCGTGCAACTGATATAAAAAGAAAAAAAACAGACGAGACATGCATTTCTTAATTTGTATTATATTTTTGTGTAAAGTATATATTTATCTATTAAATAATAATGTTAGTATATGTTAGCAAAATTTGCTAAGAAAATTGTCAATAAAACGAATTCACTGGTCATCAATGAAACCTGCTTAAAGGAATACATAATAATGGGATAATACATCAGTTCCAGAATCTTCATTAAAGATCGAACCCCATAGTTGATGTTCTTTGCTTAACTTCTGACTAAGTAGTAATTTTTCCGTTTTTTCATTAAAATGATACTTTTGTTTTTATAATTGATGTCCCTTGCCGTGTCGGAATGCACAGCAGAGGCCATTTTTGCATTTCTGGTTACGAAACTATACCAATTTTATTAATATAAGTAAAAAATTCACGACACCAAACTAGAGATTATGGTTCTAAGGATTAGTACTTATTAGTGCGTCCATTTTAAAATTTTCGAAAGGCAAAATAGTTGAGGAGTGAGCGAGAATCTACTATTATAAGATGATTGGTTTTTCGTATTACTGATTTAAGGAAAATCGTTGGACTCGAACTTTATCGCGCAAATTGAATAATGCAACGAGGACTCGAACTAATGCATTTAAGTATTTAATCTGATGAATAAATTTAATCCCTAGGTATGAAGGTTTAGGCATAAATGCATATCTATATTTACGAGGTAAACCTAAATGTTTAAAATCTAGATTTCTACAGAGTTAGCATCTAGAATCTCTTAAGAGCAATTATTATAATAATATAAAGATTTTAAAGCGATAATAATTTAGTGTATATCGGAGTTGACTAATGAAAGATAATAATTTTTCAGGTAAGTTTTTTTCATCGGTTCATTATCTTTTTATGGAGACATTTCCAGATGGACAAAAATACAGCTGAATATCAATAGCAACATTTTATTCGTCTTGTCTAAACAATATTACAAATAACACATAAAAGCCAAGAAAATTCTCCTTCACATACTTTAGCAGTCTTCAAATTGTTCATCGTTTCCAATGTCTGTTATCATACAATAATTTCATATATTTTCGAAATGTATTCGAATAAAAATATTCTCAACAGTCTTTTATTTTTTGATTGGGTGCGAAATTTTTCTTTCCACAAAAATACATAAAAAATTCTTAAGTGATTCTTCGAGATTTATATTAAACTGGCAAAATTGGTGAAGATTAGATATTTAGTTATAAAAAACAAAGACTAGAAACTCAGACACAAAAAAAACTTTAGAAATATATGATAATAACGTTGTAGTAATAATTTTTGTATTTTAACTGATTTAAGTAATAATAAATTTTGAGATCCGAATAAACCTAAGTTAGGTTACTTTTTTTTTGCATCCCAAGCTTCAGGTTCAATTTAAAGTTATTTTAATATCGATATACATTGCATGAAACGAAATAAAAATATTTATAAAAATAGTTCCCAAATGTACATTAATGCAATTTTAATATTGTTTTTAATATTTTGTGATAGTTTGTAGAAAATGAATGGTAACTTATGTTGGTAAACCGTAAATGAATAATGAATTTCATTTATTTTAGTGAAATTAATTTCACCTAATAATGGTAACGTATTAATTAGTTAACGGAAATACCACAAATTCTGACAAAAAATTTTAACCTAAATGCTGGAAATTTTCCTAAAATTTCCAAAATTTCCACAAATAAGGCTGCCGAGGAGGCTCTATTAGCCGTCACTCAGAGTAACATGGATTTCAAGTCTACGGAATTAGAGACCAGTATTTAACTATGTCATTCATACGAACCATAGTTGTAAGGCGTTCATGACTATTACAGTAATTCAATAAATAATTAACATTTTAAGCGTGCACTGATCCTCTTTCACAAAAAACAAAATAAGCTGACTTTTTTACTACTGTGTTTCATCGGGAAGAAATTTTGTTAATAAATATTTTTTAGTACTTATTGATTGTGCCTACTGCTGATCCGGCTCGCACGACAACGTCTGAGGCCAGTGGCGGCACCAGACGTTGGTGAGGTAAATGGAGCTATGATGATTATGAATGATATTAAAAAGAACAGGAAGACCAGATTCAAATAATGACAAAATAACCATACTGACTTTGTTTTCCTTGGGAGAGTAAACGGATAATTTTCCTCTGAAATAGTCTGAGCTGGGGAAGCATTCGTTATTATTGTGAGGATAATTAAAATTCTATAAAGTTAACAATGTTATTCTGTTCTTTCAATTTTAATTTATAATAACATTCTCTTTCACATTGTTTTCGAAACCTTTTTTATCAGTGAAACATTACACACAATCACTAGACTTGCTTTAAAGAAAGTTTTCAAGGGATTCATCAGTACAGTTTTGTTCATCGCTGTGATCCTCGCAGTCTGCCTCACCGTCGCACCCCACGACGGAAGGCAGGCAGCGCCCGTCGGCCTTGCACTCGAACTGCCAAGAACTGCAGCTGCCTGTTGATGGGCGACATAACAACTATAGTGGATTGAAACTGTATGCAGAATAAATATACGGAATTTGCGTCTCAATTCACTAGCTTCAATTTAACATTAGAACACAAGTCACAGTTGAAAAAATTAGAATCAATTCTATATTAGAAGGAATTGAGGCCATCAGACCCCAGCCATGAAGAGTTTGGTGCTCACAGTTTAGCTCGTCGCTGTTGTCGCCGCAGTCGTCGTTGCCATCGCACACTAACCATTGCTCTTTGCAGACGCCATTATTGCACTTGAATTGCTCTGAAGTGCAGATACCTGGTGGCACCCAATGAACATTTTACAGTAAAACATATATGTATTACTATACGCAATTCTTATACAAGATATTTCAAATCCAAACTCTTTGGGGATCAATCTTAAAGTATTTTGAAAAAAAGAAAATAGGCAAATTCCACCTGAGAGTAAAGTGAAATTATTAGGCTTGAGCCTAAAATGTTTTTTTATAAGCTCACAGTTTATTTCGTCACTGTAGTCACCGCAATCGTCGTTGCCATTGCATATCGCCCATTTCTCTTTGCATGCGCCGTTATTGCACTTGAATTGCTCTAAAGTGCAGTTGCCTGTAATAAAAATATATTAAATACTACAACCAAAAAATAAAAGCCTAAAATAAGATCCGAACTCATTAATTGCTCTATTTATGTTAAAAGACTCCAATTGACCATTCCCCGCTAGAATGTTTTTAGCGTAAATAAAATTTAAAAGGGTTTGGGTTCGACCGTCTTTTCCGAACCCGAAAACTGATGGTGCAGGGTGAATTGTGCCAAGTAATAATTCGGAATAAAGTATAACAAAATAATTCCCGGATCAAATTTGATATAGGATGAATTATTAGCATTGTATCTTTGAAATAATTATTGAAACTGACAATTTATTTCATCGCTGAGGTCTTCGCAGTCGTTGATGCCGTCACAGAGCCACCCCACGTCGATGCAGTGGAGGTCGTCCCTGCACTGGAACTGTGAAGCGCTGCAGCTACCTGTTGTAAAGTTATAGTAAACCCTTCTTAAGTTAATAAATTTAACCTGTTGTAAAGTTATAGTAATTAAGTTAATAAATTTAACCTATTGCAAAGTTATGCTAAATGACCGCGAGAGCAAAACATTCATAGAGTTGATAAATTTAACCTATTGTAAAGTTATGATAAATGAACGCGGGAGCAAAACTTTCATAGGGTTAATAAATTTAACCTATTGTAAAGTTATGATAAATGACCGCGGGAGCAAAACATTCATATAGTTAATAAATTTAACCTATTGTGAAGTTATGATAAATGACCGCGAGAGCAAAACATTCATGAAGTTAATAACTTTAACCTATTGCAAAGTCATGATAAATGACCGCGATATCAGAACCTTTATAAAGTTTATAAATTTAACATATTGGAAAGTTATGATAAATGACTGCGATATCAGAACCTTCATTAAGTTTATAAATGTAACATATTAGAAAGTTATGATAAATGACCGTGACAGCAAAACCTTCATAAAGTTAACAAATTTAACCTGTTGCAAAGTCATGATAAATGACCGTGATAGCAAAACCTTCATGAAGTTAATAAATTTAGCCTATTGCAAAGTTATGATAAATGACAGCGGTAGCAAAACCTTCATGAAGCTAATAAATTTAACCTGTCGCAAATTTATGATAAATTACGGCGATAGTAAAACCTTCCTTCATAAAGGTTATAAATGCAACCTATTGCAAAGTTATGATAAATGACAGCGATAGTAAAACCTTCATATAGTTAATAAATTTAACCTATTGCAAAGCTATGATAAATGACCGCGATAGTAAAACCTTCATATAGTTAATAAATTTAATTAACCTGTTGCAAAGTCATGATAAATGACTGCAATAGCAAAACTTTCATAAAGTTAATAAATTTAACCAGTTGCAGAGTCATGATAAATGACGGCGACAGCAAAACCCTTTTAAAGTTTACAAATTTACCCTGTTGCAAAGCGACAATCAGAAACTTCATGATAAAAACCTCAGAATATTTACAAATTCAACATTGAACTTTACATGTATCGATTCTCAATTTCAACATTAAAATATAACTAATATGCATAACAGAATAGATAAACCCAAGTTTCAAAAACCGCAGCAGCATTGATATCAAACCCAGAAAAAATGCGGTTTAACTCACAATTTTGTTCGTCACTGAGATCTTGACAATCGTTCATGCGGTCACACACGTAGGTAGCAGGGATGCAGGCCGCGCCGTCCTTGCATCGGAATTGTGACGAGCTGCATTCACCTGTTGACCAGCGGCTCTTTAGCGAACTGGGGCCGTACTTTAAAAATAGTTATGAGTTCGTAACTCCGTCAGCCAATCACTGACGGCTTTTTTAGCGAACTGGGCCGTACTATAAAAATAGTTACGAGTTCGTAACTCCGTCAGCCAATCACTGACGGCTTTTTTAGCGAACTGGGGCCGTACTATAAAAGTAGTTATGAGTTCGTAACTCCGTTAGCCAATCACTGACGGCTCTTTAGCGAACTGGGGCAGTACTATAAAAATAGTTAATAGTTTGTAACTCCGTCAGCCAATCACTGACGGCTTTTACAGCTTAACCCACCAGCAGAGCTGGGCAGCGCTACTTTGAAATGTAGCGACCGCTACCGCTACCGTTACTGAAAATGTAGCTCGCTACTGCCCACCTCTGCCCACCAATTACTGATAAGAAATCGGCTGGTACAAGTCCTTAGGCCGCTACGTGTACTAAAGCGAGTTTAGATAGTACGACACTTAGAGGCAAGCCATGAAACAGACATCGCGGGGAGGGGGGCATAAAAATGTAAATGAGGTCAATTTCATAATAAAGAAAATCTGTCATTATCGCTGGGGAAAGTGGTTCTTCATAGCAAGTTTGAGTGCAGGAAGTAAATATGTATATGTGGCCGATTTCACATTTAAAATTACTCGTACTTCGGCTATCGCTGGGCTGAAGTTGCTTCTTAATGCAAGTTTTATTAAAGACCAGAGAACGGAATTAATTAACAATTTTATTGTTTGCTTTCTACAAACGGTCGGGCGGTGTTTTTCTTTGTCGCACTTACCGTATTTAAAACTAAGTGTGGAAGAAAAGTTTTGTTGATCGTTCTCATACGTTCATTGTAGTCGCTGATTCAATGTCCTACTCAATGTGATGAAAACGCAATGATGGGACTTGAATTAAACAGAGTTAATTGTCCTGTCTGGGGTACATTGAAACTTCTGCAGTTTATACATACACAAATAAACAGATAAATATCTAAATTTTTAATATACGCCAAAATAAATTTGGGAGCACGAAAAAAATCAATTGATAATGACATTATCCTTACGTGTGTTTTAAAATCAAATAATTTAATATTAGTATAAACGTTTTCGGATGACGAGCGATTGAATCATGTGAGATGGTAGCCAAATGTAAATACCACACACAAATTTCTTTCATGGTCAATATAAATTAGGTTATTAGGTTATTTCAGTGATATTTCAGGTAATAAATTAGATTATTTTCAGTGATATTTCAGGTAATAAATTAGGTTATTTTCAGCGATATTTCAGGTAATAAATTAGGTTATTTTCAGCGATATTTCAGGTAATAAATTAGGTTATTTTCAATGATATTTCAGGTAATAAATTAGGTTATATCAGTGATATTTCAGGTAATAAATAAGGTTATTTCAGTGATATTTCAGGTAATAAATTAGGTTATTATTCAGTGATATTTCAGGTAATAAATTAGGTTATTTTTAGTGATAATTGCAGTGTAACCCGAGCAGTAGAGCTCGTCGCTGCCATCAAGGCAGTTGAAGACGCGGTTGCATAGCGCATAACTACTGAGACACATGCCACCATCCTTGCAGACGAACTGGTCTGTCGTGCAACTACCTGCTCACAACCCAACAATTGCATTAGAAGTAGTTGCAAAAATGAGAATAATATTATAAATAGGGGAAACCATTTATAATATTATTATAACCTTAGTAATCTACGAAACACATTGAGTAGGCTTGGTGAAAAAGAACAGTAATAACATTAGATGTCATTGGAGCATTGGATGCTCATAACCCAACCATTGCATTAGAAGTAGTTGCAAAAATGAGGATAATCTTATAAATAGTGCAAACCATTTATTATTTGCAATCATCTGAAAGGATTAGTAATCTACGAAACCCATTGAGTAGGTTTGGTTAAAAGAAAGAGAACAGTAATAACATTATGTGCTATATATGGTTAGTTTCTTCGAGTTCATCTAATGCACGAGTTTCATTACTATAGACGCATGCAGTTATATGCATTTGGGCATAGACAATAAAAGAACTATGACAACGGAAAAATATGTGTTTTAATATATTATAGACAATTTAGTTAATTGGGAGTTATTGCTATTATCTAAATCAAAAATAATTTCGTGCAAGAACTATTACTTTATATACAAAGCATTCAATAATTCTAAGAACTCAGGGCAGGCTAAAGCAGCAAAGATAGTCGGCTGCAGAATTATATAAAATTTTTCACACAGCGCTAAGGGGCTTCTGATCGAAGAATATATTGTGGAGAAATTTATATATTGACTTCATACCCGATATATCTCACTCATAAGAGCTTAACTGCTGCTTCTTGATAGTCTTTTCTTTATAGATGGTTTGGTTTAAACCACACCTATAATTTGTACAACGCAAATGGAACCGGGCAGGATTTTTGGAAGGTTTTAAAATTTAAGATTTCATATTTTTACAATTTCCTCTCTTAAGTCTCATATATATGCAATTTATAATCTTAATTTCAATATATATACAAATTTGATGACTCACAGTTCAGTTCATCACTATAGTCGCCACAGTCGTTGTTGCCGTCACACAAGTTCCACTCGTGGATGCACATGCCGGAGGTGGGGCACGGTACATCGTAAGTGCTGCAGGTACCTGCACGGTTATAGAATAGAATAAAATAGAATAGAATAGAATAGAAGTGTCGGCACTGAAGAAATAGGCCCATGGCCTGTTGCCGATTCTTGAACTTTTCGTGACCTGATTCACAAGGGATCCGGCCTTTGGAACCCGATCTTTCCATAACTGACGATTGATTGAAATAGCTGCTAGACTTATTGCCTGCTCAGTAATTTGCTAGGCATTTTAAGACTGAACATATGCTCCTGCATAGCTTCGTCTAGTCTGTATTAATCAAAATATGAACATTATAATTAAATAAAGATTTAAAAAAATTTAAATAAGTACTGGGAAAACATCCGGAGTGAATTTAAAACATTATTGGCATATATGGGCTAAATTCTTCAAAAAGAACGTACAAAATTGACTGGAAAATGACATTACAAATATCATCGTATTAGTACTTTGATTTAAAAGAAAAATTAATGTCTCCTGCGATTTTTCATTCTGTTTTATAGCAATCGTTTTTACACGATGTATCGATGAAAAGTTGCCGGTATTTCTCTATCTGTTTTTGTACTGAACACACTTATTCGCGAATTGCGATAAAATGTGCAGTGCAATCCGCGACACCGAATATGCAGAAAATTGATCATTATTCTGTTTACGAATTTAATTCGAATTTAATTTTTTCTATATTTGAGTGAATTTTTTCCAAAATGTATACTATCATTGAAATAATGTACTATGATTTTTTTTTAGTTCAGATGCCTCAGTTTATTGAAATTTTTTGCACTGCAATCTCAATATGGAATTATCAAACATTCAATTGAATAACTTTGAGTTCGACATTCATTCATATTCATTCACATGAATGCATTAATTTCAATACTCGCCGCCATTCACGCTCAACATTAATTTATTACAGTCTATATAATGTTTTAAACTATGATCACTCACAGTTCTGCTCGTCGCTGTCGTCGCCGCAGTTGTTGTAGCCGTTACTCATTAATTTATTACAGTCTATATAATGCTTTAATCTATGATCACTCACAGTTCTGCTCATCGCTGTAGTCGCCGCAGCTGTTGTAGCATCACTCTACATTAATTTATTACAGTCTATATAATGTTTTAATCTATGATCGCTCACAGTTCTGCTCATCGCTGTAGTCACCGCAGTTGTTGTAGCCGTTACACATTAATTTATTACAGTCTATATAATGTTTTAATCTATTAACACTCACAGTTTTGCTCATCGCTGTAGTCGACGCAGTTGTAGCCATCATTCAACATTAATTTATTACAGTCTATATAATGTTTTAATCTATTATCACTCACAGTTCTGCTCATCGCTGTAGTCGCCGCAGTTGTTGTAGCCGTTACTCATTAATTTATTACAGTCTATATAATGTTTTAATCTATTAACACTCACAGTTCTGCTCATCGCTGTAGTCGCCGCAGTTGTTGTAGCCGTTACTGATTAATTTATTACAGTCTATATAATGTTTTAAACTATTATCACTCACAGTTCTGCTCATCGCTGTAGTCGCCGCAGTTGTTGTAGCCGTTACACACGCTCCGTTCGTGAATGCACATGCCATTGTTCTGGCACACGAACTGGTCAGAGCTGCAGTTGCCTGCAAATGAAAGAATGGATGTATTAATTAATGAATTAACGTAACAATATGAAAATATTCATGAAACAGACGTCATTTTTAGCCGTTCTAATACTTTCTCAACTTTTTTTATCACTATTGAATTTACGTGTAACGCGCTCTCGAAGTTTGGTTGAACCAGACGGTACGACGATCGCTTCGTGGGAAAATAATAATATTTTCAAATAACAAATAAGCCAAATCTCGAATTACATTGCTCACTAAAATTCTAGAGTTTTGAATAGCAAAGAAAAATGTGTCGCTAGAAAAAACAATTTATGGTAAAACGAGCCTTATAGGCCTATTTATTTTGAGATGATCACAATTTTATACTGACAGCCTCGCTCGTCACTGTAGTCTCCGCAATCGTTGAATCCATCACACAGCTTCTTATTATCCACACATACGCCGTTGTCGCATTTCATCTGCTCCGAGGTGCAGTTACCTGCCAGAACATCGGTATTATAGGAAAAAATTTTCTCGTTGACGAAAACGTGAAGTAATGGACGGACAGGCAGAAGGACAGACGGACATGGCGAGCACAATAGCGCCTTTTTTCAATAAATGAGAAAATGCGCTAAAAATGATCGATCAAAACTGCCGGCTAGAGTTTAAGTTAAGCATTGTAAATGGATTTGTAAATCTTTCACTCGCATTCTCTTATTCAGTCAAAATTCAATGTCCGATGCCGATTGAATGTCTCATCAAAATGTCGAATTTTGATTGAATTTGATGATGTCAAAATTGAATGTCTCATCTAATACCAGAACATCGGTATTACAGGAAAAAAATGTAACTCAGTAATCACTGCAGTGAGTGACAGAGAGAGCATTTTCTCGTTGACGAAAACGTGAAGTCACGGACGGACAGACAGACGGACGGACGGACATGGCGAGCACAATAGCGCCTTTTTTCAATAAATGAGAGAATGCGCTAAAAATGATCGATCAAACTGCCGGTTAGAGTTTAAGTTAAACATTGTAAATGGATTTGTAAGTCTTTCACTCACATTCTCTTATTCAGACAAAATTTAATGTCCGATGCCGATTGAATGTCTCATCAAAATATAGAATAGATTTACCGTTTGTGTTTTGTGTGAGTTTCGAGATAACAAAATAATATGACTTTTTCTTATAACATTTTATAATTCGATAAATCTGTCAATGGTTTGTGACCAGCGGCAACGTTAGTCTCCAATTCAATCTGAAAAACTAAATCGAAAGTATAAATCTGAATACATAATAACATAGATTCTGAGCAGCGCAACGCAACAAGACAGTATATGGTTACGAGATGACCATTAATATGGTCGCGTACGGCATTTTCTGCATACAAAGACTTCAAAATCATCATATTATCGTTATTACAGTATAATATCTTGGCTCCATTAACGTTTACATGTCCATGTTTGTACCGCAAACTTCTTGAACTGTTCAAGGTGTTACACATCGAGAGAATTTTGAAATTTACTCTATGGTGAAGCACACATTCTCCGATTCAACTGCCAAGCAAATACTGCTTTACGTATATACGAGTATTCTTTGCTCGCGACTATAAACCTATTACTATTATTGTCGCTGTGACCAAAACTAACTATCGTAGACTACGACTACCGTAACTAAAACTTAATACTAATGATATATCTTAAGCCAAATAATATTATCAAGGCTAAAACCGAGAACCTGGTAACTATAACCTTAAGTCCTAAACTATAACCTCAGCCCTCCCATAGCTTCTGGCTTGTCTGGTGCAGCTACATATGGCTCCACTACCCGAAGCTTGCCGCTTGGTCCTGCGTTTGCAGCTACAACCTAAATTATAATGTGTTTAGATATATATTTAGATATATCTAACCACAGATATATCTAATATATATCTCATATATTTAGATCACTCAAATAAAAATTATATTTAAAGTTGTATTATTCATTTATTCCTTCACTATTCATACCTAGTTGCTTTAGTTGGATTCTGTTCCGGTGTTGTTTAAATAATGTTTCGAGAGTGACATTCCGATAACGCTTTAGCCTAGTGAATACATTTCAATTCGGACCAAGTCGGTACCTAATTAATTTGTTGATGCAGTTTTGGTGTAAGTAATAGTTGCTTGCCCCTTTAATATAACGCATTTTTATTATACTAACAGAATTTCTCATCACTGTAGTCCAAGCAATCGTTGATACCGTCGCACCTCCATGCTTCGGAGACGCAGCGTTTGCCATCCTTGCACCTGAACTGATCTTTGCCACAGCGACCTGCAAAATTGTCAAAATTACTGAGTGTGCATCAATAATCTGGCATTTATTTGTCAAATTGTGTTTGTATGATTAAAGCCTGTCGTCGTAAATATATTTAATCGGTTTTTACACGGTTTCATTTAATTAGCATGCCTTTCATTCTTATTAACTGAATTTTGGACAACGGAAGTTTCATATAGCACGTATGATCTATCCTCGATAATGGCCTGGCTTGCCTGCTAGCATTTACCTAAAATTTATTCTTCATTAATTTATGGAGGCTATAATGAATTGGGTTCAAGAAGGAAGAGAAATAGTTTACGGGATTGCAATCAAATAAATGCTATCATAGATTAATCGCAGGCTCGTTATAACGTTAGAAATAACAACTTCTGTTCGAGGAATTACTAAATATTCAAAACTGAAACAATTATATGTATAGTATACATTATGTATTCGAATACATTACATAATAATAATACATAATAATGTATGCGAATACATTATTATGTATTCGCCTGTGAAGCTTTTTAGCTTATATGGGCATTCACATGGAAGCATTTTGTATTTTTTTCTCCAAATGTTTGTTATTTTCTTGTTATGAATTTTTTTATGCTTCTGCGTGAATAAAGAATAAATAAATAAATATGTATTAGAGATAATAATATCATTTTCCGTGAGAAACAACATTTTATTTATAATGGATAGAAATAAATTTATTATAATATGAAAGGAAAGAAAGTGGACATAATCAGCTCACCAGGGGCTCTGCTGTTGAGCCTCAGCGCTGCCCCAGAGGATACAAGCCCGAGCAGCAGCAGCTGTAGCTTCCAGTTGTAGACGACAAAACCCTTCTTGAATTAAATAAGTGACATAAATAAAATTCATAAATTTTAGATGCAACATAATCTCTGCATCCCTATATTATGGAAAATGATTACATGTCAAACTAAATCCATTAAAGCGATTATAGAATTTTTTTTATGTGAACAGTGATGGTTGTGTGATACAAATAATTTTATTTAATCGAAAATTATCACAATTTCAGATTAACAATTAATTTAAAATTCGCATAAATTCTTTTAAAATTCATTAGAACACTTATAAATTTGATAACTGAAAACTTGAGGCAAATCCAGTACTCACCTCCATTGATGGTTCGCTGAAATTTCGTATAAAATGAAACAATGGACAAAAGAAAATTTTTATAAACGTTTTGAAAACGAAATGAAATGAAAAATTTCACCTTGTTTTTTTATACTGTAAGTGAAGTTTAATGGTTAGTAATAAGTGGGTTTTACATCTAATTGATCACTGTTCCACTTTCTACATGATCAGCCTAAATGATTAGTTGACATTTATTTCTTATTTATTTATGAACATTCAATTATTCATATATGATACAAATTTTAACATACAAGTTATTCTTTGGTCTTATCGTAAATCGTAATGCAATTGAATTTATTTATTATGATGATTTTCGTGAAGATTATAAAAAAAATCAAACAAAGTCTATTGGTTAAATGGTCGATCGCAGTGATCGACAGAAAAATCCTACCCACATATTTTTACTCGTTAGTTAGTTTTACACGCATACATAGTAGGGCTTATAGAATATTACCAGAAGAATGAATAACATACTGAACACTGAAACCTTGCCAATGCCATGCCGAATGACATAGAATAGAAGTGTCGGCACTGAAGAAATAGGCCCATGGCCTGTTGCCGATTCTTGAACTTTTCGTGACTTGATTCACAAGGGATCCGGCCTTTGGAACCCGATCTTTCCATAACTGACGATTGCAATGCACTCACTACGCATGCTATTTTACGAACGATACTGCGAGGACTAAAATCGTTGACATTGGCGGGATGGTATGCTACTAGCAACTGAACAATGAAACTGGAAACTATGCGTGACATTGTCCTTTTGACTTCGATAATTCATGGTTGGGTGTCATGAATGTGGCCTTCAATGCTAATGGCTGTTATTTTCAGTTCATTGTTACGTGAATGACGCTTCCGCGAGCGGAAAACTGTCAAAACACTTCCCCGTACACTTTATGTCGATGATATATTATTAGACTTTCGAATGGAGTATTAAGTTATAATTGGCCAAGCTAATAAAAATTTAGGGATTATCAAGTTGAAATGGAAAGTTGGATAATAATACCTAGGAAAACCAACAGTAAAAGCAAGCAATTTATTCTTGTTTTGTTTCTCGCAAGCAATTTATTTCATATGAACGCATTGCCTCCGATAATGCATACGATCTCATTCACTTCTTAATATAAACTTCCTACCATACAAGACTTCCACTTGAATTTTTACATGCACAATTGATTTTTTTATCTTAAGATAGTTCTTTATTAAACAAGAATCAAAACGCTAAGAATATGTCAATTAAATTCACATTATTTCCGCTGGCAAATATTTGGGATAGTTCAATCATCAAGTCAAACGCATTAATAATAACATACATAACCATGAGAATTAATTAAGTTACCCCTGTGTCTGTCTCCGAAACGTTTTAATTAAAAATAATTTCATGATGTTGTAGATTTTTATTCTTCAGTTAATTTACAGCCGAAGCTTATAAATGCTGAAAATTGTTTGCATTTAATACAGTTTGGGAAAACTCCATGAATTGAATGATGACGAAGAATAGCTTAATGCCGCCGTACCCTACCTACGGCCTAAGCAACTCATTGCCCATGCATTAATGTCAATTCTCCTCTTGAGATCTGAGGTGTCGGGCGCAAGTGGAGTCTAATCTGGTAAACAATGCTTATATATACTATATGAAGGTTCCGTCTAGTCAATCTTATTCATAGTAATCTCTTCATTGCTGCATTCCGATCGCTAGATTAAAGTAGCGCCAGGATTGAAGGAAGAGCTGATCATTGCCGGTTTAGAGGGTTACTTTAGGTGATCAATACATAATTTTTTAGGTATATTGAAACGCAAGTTAATAAATCCTATAAACTGTAATGAATCCGATTAACTGTAGGCTATTCATGATACTAACACGTGTTATTGTCTTATTTATTTGTCTATTGCAGCATTGCTTCCATATCGGAATCAATGCATCTAGAACAGATGTTCTGGCCGACAATAAGACTGGGGAAGCTTTCATTATCATTCAAATTAAGCCGGCAAATTATGCATTTGTTAGCACCGCAGTAATGCCAACCTATCCCGTGAATGCAACCTGCATGCCATATAGCAACTCCTATTGTTAGTTTCGTTTGTTATCAAAGCGCCCATTTGACGGGCCCTACGTATTGTTATTGGGTCAAAGCTGGCTGGTGTGAGAGTCTGGTGCGAGAGATGAAACTAACTTTTATCCTAAAATTTTCGTGATTTCTGCACTTACTGGCAATACAAAGTACACTTAGCTGTGTTTGTTCCTCTTATTGAAGTTTTTGACTGAATTATGAAAGTTTGATGCGAAAATAGTTATATTAATGAGTTTACTCAAATAATAATTATATGAATTTCTTAATCAATGTTTCCCTTTTCAAGACTTGAAGTAAAATTTTTAAGTGCAAAATTCGTACTTTCTTTGATGCTAGTACAAAATTCGTCCATCTCTAATTAATTTAAGATTTTTAATGTTACAATTAAACCTACGACCGTGAATGTTTTAGTCCTACTGAATTAGGTAGGTCAATTAAAGATGGCACTGACAACAGATATGTCGAGGAGTGAGAAATATTTTAATTGAGCCTTGGGCACGTGAAATAATATGGAGGGCGCGTTTAAATAGCAACCCCGATGGCCTGATAACTGAACACTTAATTGGTATCAAACTTCAAATCGTCTTTCCAAAATTTTCAACCAGAACTTTTACTATCGTAAAATTTCCGATTGGCTTCAGCATAAATTTCCATACCTATATGTAGACTCATCAAATATTTTTGTAAAAGCTAATTTTTTTGTAAAAGCTACCGTTAATACCACACAAGTCGCAAATCACCAGCTACTGTACTTAACTCGCCGCTGGTCATCAAAAACCGTTTAATATTGGCCAGAATTACGTTTTGTAGTGTTCCATTGTCACGTAATAATTAAAAAGCCTTTTCGCTCGCGCTAGAAAGTTGCGGCTAAGTTTTGTTAACAAAATTCGTCGATGCTCCCGTTAATCGCCGGCGACATTAGTGATGCGGCGACGTTAGTGGAATTGATGGAAAAAAATTGCAACAAAAATTAAGCCAAATCTACAAGCTACAATTAAAAAAATTTCGAGCATAAATCGTTTCCGGCTTGCACTAGTTAAAAAGGGAAGCCATTGGGAGCAATGTATTATTATTATTTTTATTAATAAACGAAACAGTTATCGTAGCGTCTGGTTCAAACGAACTTAGAGGGCACTTAGGTTTAATAGCAAGCGAAAATAAATAGCCACGATAAAGGATGAGAACGAATAAAAATGACGAAGCACCTGATTCATACGAGTGTGCTTAACAAAAGAGTTCCGTCTTTATGCATCTACGAAACACCTGCAACGAAGGAGCCAATGTTATGGAAGTCGACTGACTGTTCCAGGATCCAATGGCGGCGACCGGTAACGCTCCTCTGTCGCCGACAGTAGATAGACGCCTAGATGGAACCATGGACGGAAAGACGATTTCCTCTGTTGAGGACTAACGTAGTCGTCTTCTAGAAAGCAGATCTGACATGTGCTGCCGACATTCCGTGAGATAAGGAGGCGCCAGACCGTGAAGGCATCGGAACGTCAGATCAGCGACCGTGAATTTCCTGCGCAGCCAGTGGAGATAGCGCAATAACGACGTCACGTGGTCGAATTTTCGATAATTGCTCACGAGTCGCGCAGCAGCGTTGATGTTTACGGTGATGTTTAGCTCGTGACAATTTTTTCGATTTTGCCTTCGTTTGCGAGTTATACGGATATACGGAGAAACGACCGGCATTTCTCAGGCCGATTTTTGAACTTGCATTGACCAAGAGCCATATACGTAAAGCCGTATAACTCGCAAACGAAGGCAAAATCGAAAAAATTGTCACGAGCAAAACATCACCGTTGAGAGGTTAGGTTTCTATATGCAAAGTTTTGTTCAAATCTGTTAAGTATTTTAGAATAAATTTCTGGTACACTGTGAATTTAAGCACAAGTTTGCTGTTTAAATCACGAATGAGGGAAAAGAGAAAAAAACTCGCCAACGAAGGCAAAATAGAAAAAATTTTCACGAGCTAAACATCACCGTTGGGAAGTTGGTTTCTATATGCAAAGTTTCGTTCAAATCTGTTCAGTATTTTAGAAGAATTCTCTGGTACATTGCAAATTTCGACACGTTTCGTCATATAACTCACGACTGAAGGCGATATTAAAAAAATTGTCACGAGCTTGACATCACCGTTAGGCCATAATGAATATGTGTACCAAGTTTCATCGAGCTACGTTCAGTATTTTGGGAGATATTTCAGGTACAGAGTCCGGCCGCGAGACCGGCAGCAAGTACGGCCGTAAATTTGTCCGAGGCGTAATATTATCCCGGTTTTAGTTGCGAACCAGCTGGACAAAGCTTCTTGTCTCGTCTCGTCTCGAATGGAAAAAAGTTTCAAACGCAGAAGTCCACAGCTGGCGCTACGTAATCGTCGCGGTGGTAAGTTGGTAACTTAGGAAATGTATTCTCAAGGTCATCCACATGATATATATAAAATTTATTAATTAGACTTGAATCGGAGTTATTTTCTAAGCCCCACAATTTATCATAAGTCCGACTTAATTTAAATCCAAATTACACACTTGATGTGCTACAATGAACTGATCAAATTAAAACACGTCATGTGCACATTTCATGACATTTTAGTATCATACCGTAAGTAAGATGTTCACCGCATCCTGGTATCCTGCAGAAGCTCTCAGGCCCCACGGTCATCCTTGCGGTTGTCCTGTGGCTTTAAGTCCACCCAGCGTGGACATCCGGAAAAGAAGAAGCATCCTGGTATCGGGCTGGTAATCCTATTCTTCGGGCTGTGCCGCTGTAGTCCGCTAGTCCCACATAATTACTGACTTAGAGCACTTGTCCAGTATCCAGTTGTCACTGAGACGTGATTACTGACCAGCTGTTTGAGACTTAGAGGTCATTTACGACACATGAAAAACGACATCATCGTCACATTTGTGCTGGACTTCTTCTACACAACAATCAGAGCTGGGCAGCGCTACTTAGAAATGTAGCGGCCGGCGGCCG